CTAACCCTAAACCTCTTTGGTGCCGTTGTCCTCATTTTTGGTAGTCCTGGAAACTCTTGAAGGGAGAAGAAGGAAAGTTTGAGCTAGGATCCAGCAAGCAATCCTCCATTCTTTATCTTGGCACTCTTATGGACCTTTGTAAGTCTCCCAAACTCAAACTTTATCATGATAGGATGCTAGATCTTGAGCTTTGTCCCATAATCTTCTTATTCTTGCTAGTTAAAATGGTGGGATTTCATAAAGTTTGCAACTTTATGAATCTCTGGGACATTTGGTGAAATTGGTGGTTTGGATTTGAAGTTTAGTTGCATATTGTAATCATGCATGAGATTTAGGACATAAAATCTCATTTTTTACCTAATATGGGTTCAAGACATGCATTGGGCATGCAATTCTATAAAGCACCAACTTTCATGTTGATTTTGGTGTTAGAAACACTACTAGAGAAGGTGGACTTTGGATTTAAAGGAATAAGTGCTTAATGGTTAAGTTCATGCCTTATGGAAACTAGGGTTTGAGTTTTAGACATTTTTGGATGGTCCTTAGGGGTAAAGTTAGAAACTTTATCCCTCTAGATCAAGTTTTGAGTGAGATTTAATCTTTGTAGCTCAAGACGTTAAAGGAAATGCTTAATTGATTAGGCTGTTTGGAACAACGTTACCACAACGTGGTGTCTGGTCACCATGTCATGGCGTCTGGGGGTCAGATCGCCTGTTTTGTCCTGATGGACCACGACGTGGTGAAGGACCACCACGATGTGGCGGGTCAACCTTGGCCCTTGACTTTGACCTTTGACCTTGTTTGGCTGAGCTTAACCTAGGGGCATTTTGGGTATTTTGACCTGATTTTCGGAGCAGAGTCTCATTCAACTATTTTTCGTCTGTCTGTGAGGTGAGTCTTCTTACCACACTAGTGGGTCGAAGGCACCAACGTCGGCCCGATGATTGATATGTATTAGGTGTATGTGATTATGTTGATATGATTGAATGGTATATATATATATATATATATATATATATATATATATATATATATATATATATATATAGGGAAGGGTTATTTAGAAAACAAAAAAACCCTAAAAATCATAAAAATGCATAAAAAAATACCTAGACATTACAAAACTTTTTTTTGAATTTTTTTATAAAAAAATCGCAGCCTTTTTGACAATTTCGCTGAAAAAAAAAATAAAAAATAAATTTTTTTTTTTTTGTAAAAAAAAAATTTTCAAAAAAATTTTCAGCGATTTTATGTTAAAAACTGCAATTTTTTGATAAAAAGATTCAAAAAAAGTTTTGTGATGTCTAAGTATTTTTTTTATGCATTTTTATGATTTTTAGGGTTTTTTTGTTTTCCATAGAACCTAAACCTATATATATATATATCTATATATATATATATATATATATATATATATATATATCAGAGAGAGAGAGAGAGAGAGAGAGAGAGAGAGAGAGCGAGAGAGAGAGAGAGAGAAAGAGAGAGAATGAGAGAGAGAGAGAGCCAAACTGGGCTTGGAGTCACTACAGAGTCGAGGATTGATACGCACCTGACACAACTACATGTTGTTATATGGGTTGAGACGGACCCGACACAACTACATGCTGTCATATGGGGTTGATACGGACCTGACACAACCACGTGTTGTTATATGTATATGTTTATAGAATATGGTATTTTGGGCAAGCTCACTAAGCTTTGTGCTTACAGTTATGTTTGTAGTTTTAGGTACTTCTGATACAAAAGGGAAGGACCCGGTATGATCACAACGCATCCCCCCATGTTCCACATTTTCGTTATGATTTGGATTTGTACTATGATAATTTTACTCGTTTAACATACTAAGTTTGGGTTTATTATGAATACTTGATGGTTTTTGTTTAAATTAAAAATGAAAATTTTATCCATCATTTTAGGGACGTGACATCCCCTATTTTACAGAACAGAAAAAAAAAACTTTTTTCTTTACGTATTAAAAAACATAACATCTTTATTTGCGGAAAATCTCAGTATATTAAAACATCTCTAAGTACAAATGTTTGTTTTCAAAATAATAAAACTCTAAGGATGTCATAATTAATACACAACATAGTTACAATGTAAATACCTAACAACACTGAACATTATTGCTAGTTTTCTCTTTAATTACTCAACATCATATTCAAGTCTTCAATAGTCTTAACACCGCTACATGTGATGCATATAAATTGAGTGGGTTACGTTGTAAAACTTGGTCTCAATCAGTTAATTGTGTGACGTTGGTTACATAGTTAACTTCAATGAGGAGAAAGGGAACATCATTGATTTGACCCTTAAAAATATCCCTAGAAGCATTATGTTGAATGTGTCAAAGTCTTTCTAAGTGTCTCATGAGCAAGACCAACTGTTGAGATGTCATTGAGTCGCTCACTCACACTGATTATGTGACACTGTTCACATCTTCAGGATGAGATTTCCTGGTCCTTTCAAGAAAATTTCTAATAAAGTTTGATTATTTCATCCCCTAAACTCGATGATGCTGAAGGTTGCACCACTTCCTGTTGATGTGTTAGAAGCTCTATGCTTATGATTCACACTGTTAAACCATAGTGTGATTGAGACATCCAACAATCTCTCTTTACAACAAGTCTTCTATTATATAACTTAATGATCCACTGTACGATACCATACACTAATAAAAGTTCAAAATTTTGTGCCAGTGGTCTAACTATGTACCATAGTTTATCACATGCACCAACCCCTTTTTACCCATAATTATCTTCTACTTAAGAGCTTCATGATTAAGCGTAAGATGCCATACGCTGATGAAAACTTGAAACATATTTGTCGATGAGTATATCGTGTATCGTGATATATTACAAGCACCTATCCTTTCTTACCCTACAAAGCTTCTAACAAAGAAATTGATGAGTCATTGTATTAGTCATACACTAATTTCGTCATTCTATACCGATGGGTATATTTCGTACTAGAATGTACTACACGCATCATACCCCTCTCAACCTTCTTTTTCTAATAAAAGTAGTTAATGATTTAACGTATAAAACCATACACTGATGAAACTCCGTAACACTGTGTAAATGATCTACTATTGCGACAACACAATAATGTGATACACCAAACTTTCAACGGTTGTTCCGTTGGACTAAATTAACACTCATAGCCATCCTATTGTCTTGTTACTGGAGATCTTTACTCAATGGAAGCCTCGCATTTGTCAGATCGTCGTTTATTGGTAAAATTACCTTTATCTCAGAAGACTATCTTAAACGGTAACTTTTTAAATTTGGGGATAAGCACCATTGTTTGGGAACTGCAAGATTTTAGGCAGATTTTTTTCTCTCCTATGATTACATTTCAACGACATTTTCTGAGGTATAAAAGAAGGATTTATATGGTCATTAAAATTTTACACTCTCAATTATTCTCAAAAACGGTTTCGTTTGTCTCCTCTCTCAAAAACCCTAATCACAATCTCCATAGCTCCTCATGTTATTCTCTACACTTATGCTCTACACCAAATGCTATCAAGGCTGTTGGAACTCCAAACATTCCTATCGTCATCATGTCCAACAATATGGCATTCTCAACTGAAATCCCTAAAAAATTCAAGACAAGGGATTTGAAGATTTTGTGTATTATCTAGTTGCATGTCCTCTTTGCTATGCTCTTGCTGATGTTGTCGATACTTTTCTTCCACAACACATGTATAGTTCTACTATACAGCTACCTACTATAATACTAGAGTAATTATTGGTACAATCATAGATGGAAAACACTCTATTTCAATAACTGTGACTAATGTTCAAAGGGCCTTACGTCTTCCAGTTTGAGATGAGTACTTTTTGATTCCCACTATGGGGAATGTCGTGCCATTCTTAAGAAGTTGGGTTATGTTTTTGAGAAATAAGGAAACTATAATGTTCTTCTTCTGCATCTTCCCACTACTAGGAAGTTTCTCACCGGTGTCCTTGGAAAGTGTCTCACTCACAAAGCAAGGAGTCTTGATCAGTTGAATGCTTTTGAGAAACGTATTCTTTTCTCAGTCATCAAGAACAAGCAACTAAACTTTGCTTAACTTATCATTGACTAAATTTCTCAAATAAAAGGAAATAAGCAATCCTATCATGTTCCTTATCCCCCAATGGTTTTCACTAATTCTTCAATATATTGGCACCGGGTATGATGGTGAACTAGTTGCAGATTGGGCTCCTTATTTCACTTCTTCAAAATTGTTCAACCAGGATGCTCAAGATATTTGGAGCATCACAAAAGGAATGCAGAAGTTGATTATTGCCCCATATAAGTGTGATAAATTGCCATATGTTGCTCCTGAAGTACCTTCTGAGGATGAAGAAATGGAAACTGAGAACCAAGTGCCAAAACAACAAGAGAATGAAGGTTAACAAGATGACACTGAGTCAGATAAAGACACTGACGCTGTCAACAAAAATGTTAATGCTGGGAATGCATATGATAGTGAACAAACTGAAATGGTCCTTGTTGATCAGGGCCAGGAAGCTCAAACGTTCCTGTAGAATTTCAATGAGGTCGAATCCAGTCGTCCTGACACGCACATTCATTTTGAGTCTCCTCCATCCATAAATAAAGAAGAAGAAGAAAAATAAGAACATATATATGAAACTCCTTCTCCATAGCGACAAACCTCTGTTGATGATGTTGATCATGTGTTCGAGACTCCTCCGCATACCAGAGGTAATTCACCTCCCGCTCGTACTCCTTCTCTCGTATACTCTCCCCAACATGTTTGAGTTTCACTATTCCGAAATCCTCAAACGCAAAGGCAGCATGCTCCCACTCCTCCCATTCCAACTACAAAAATGTTGCCTACTATACAAATTCTTCCTACTCAAGAAACTATTCAGGGGGAACAATCACTACCAAGCTTGCCTCTTGATATATTCAAAGACTTCTAGATAAAAGTCCTCTTTACCTCGGATTCTCTTGTTCAGCTGACTACCAACATGAGTCAGCGAATGGGTACGATAGAAAGTAATGTGGCCGATATCAAGTGTATTCTCACAAACGATGATACTGAAACTAAGGATGACGGGCATCAGTCTCCTCCAGAAAATGGCCAACCACCCCCTGATTATATCGGGGGCCCTCCATCAGACAGGCATACCTACAACAGTCATCCTTCAATGCCTTTTGGTCCTCTACCATCAAATCCACCATCTCCATCTTCTCCACCTCCACAAAGTCAGACTTTTTCTCTCACCTTTCAAACTCACTCTCAAGCTTATAATGCCAAAAAAGGTAAGAATCTTTCAAGTGCTTACACTGATGCTGATACTGATGTAAATGTTGAGCACATTCCTGACCAATCAGATGTAGATGATGGAGTCTATTTCATGGACTTGTTATTTATTGATGAAAAACCACTTCATACGGTTTTTCCAGACTCTCATGATGATGATGGAGTCTATTTTATGGACTTGTCATTTATGAAATTCCATAACACTTGGGGTCTAACAACCCACTATAAAATATTTACGTAAACACATTTACATTATAATGAGATAAAAATACATCGAATCATCTCATAACTCAACCCCCGTGCCCCCGTATGCTACTACAATTTTGCGGTAATAAGTGTCCAGAAACGCCTCTAGAGATTATCCTGACCGCGTATGCCAAAACCCTTCAAACGACACAACTGACATCTATTTGTATGTTTGGCCGTTGCGTCACGATGAGTATGTGGCCGCACCGTGACATGTGTCTTGTGACTCTGCTTACCTATACGCTGCGTAAGTCAATCCTCTATGCCATGTTGGCTCGAGACTTGAACGTTTGACTTTGACTTCCGTTGACTTTCTCATAATAGCAACTTACTTTTATCTCAACTTCAAATAGCCATAATTTTCTCATACGAACTCCATTTTTGACGATCTTTATATCCACGAAATCGTCTTAGAGTGTACTATAATTTCACTAATTTCTGATTATTCTTAATTATACCTATTATGAAAAACAAGCGGTACAATGTATCTGGGGAAGTATTTTCACATGTGTAACATATTGGAAGATTGATAATATAGTTAAGAATTACTTGTACTGTAACACCCTGTTTTAGATCATTTTGTGATTGAAGACTCGTAGGCAGTAAGTCGATTATGTGAAGACTTTGCGGCTTTGAGAAAATAAATTTTAGGCCTTATTGAAGGTTGAAAAGTTTGGTTATGAGATCTAAGCCCTTGAATCGTGAGTAGGAACCAAGGGTGAACTTGAGAAGGATAGGTGTCAGACTGCTTGCAAGGGTTACGTTTTGGACTTCTTTTATAAATTAAGGATTTTAGTTCGAGATGATTTTAGTCATAAGTATCAAGATAGAACTGTAGAGCTCGTCGATACCTTTCCGTGGATATAAAAATTGTCGAAAATGGAGTTGGAATGAAGAAGTTATGGTTGTTTGAAGTTAAGCTGGAAGAAGAGAGTCTGGCACTAGGTTGGGCGTACACCAGGAGTACGATGGGCGTACTAACTGAGGAAGTCACGTTTTTAGGGTTTTACGATGGTCGGAACTTTAGGTATGATGGGCGTACCCCCACAGTGCAAAAACTATATTTATGTGGTTTCGAGCCCTATTTAAGGACTCTAACCCCTTAGGGACCTTCTTAACATCAGCCTCCACTAGGGATGAGATTTAAAATTGGAAAACTGGAACCGAAACCGAATCGGACCGGATACGAAACCATTAGAACCAGAATATATAGAACTGATTCTGGTTCCGGGTTCAAAGAATGACTTTATCCGGGTTTGGGTCCATCGGGTTTGAGTAAACTGGGTTTAAGAACCAGAACCGATGTTAGGAACCGAAACCACTTTTAGGGGCCAAAACCGATTTCTATGAAAAGTTTAAAATATGCATATCTCATTCGTTTCAAGTCGGATTGATATAAGGTTTTTTCCAACATGTAGTTTAGAGTTTTTATATGATATTAGACTATAAATTTGTCATTTTTAGTTTTATATTCATTGACTTACAATCCCCCAAAATCGAGATATAAAAGTTGGAAGGTTTTTGTTTTTTAGTTTTTTTTTTGCATTATGTGAAAATTTTAATACATGCATATCTAACTCGCTTGAACTCAGATTGACATGTGATTTTTTCCAACTTGCAGTTTATAGTTTGTACATGAGTTTAGAATATAATGTTATCATTTTTGGTTTAATATTCAATGAATTACAGTCCCCCAAAGTCGTTTGAAAATTTTTAGTTTTTCAACTTTTTTGTATTCTGTGAAAATTTTAAAACATGATATCTAATTCGTTTGAAGTCAGATTGATATGTTGTTTTTCTTCACTTGTAGTTTATAGTTTTTACATGAATTTAGATTATAATTTTGTCATTTTCTGTTTAATATTTAATGAATTACAGTCCCTCGAAGTCGGGTTATCAAAGCTGAAAATTTTCAACTTTTCAGCAATTTGCTTTTGTACTTTGTATTCTATAGAAATGTTAAAACAGGGTTATCTCATTCATTTAAAGTCAGATTGACATACGGTTTTTTCCAGAGTGTAGTTTAGAGTTTTTACATAGTTTTAGACTACAATTTTGTTAATTTTGGGTTCATATTCAATGACTTACAGTCCCCCGAAGTCGGGATATCAATATGAAAATTTTCAAATTCCAACACACTAAGTAGCAAATAAGTACCAAAAAAATTCCGGTTTTTTGGGTTTTCCAGTTCTAAACTCATGACGCTGAACGAGACATTCGAAAACTAAAGCGCACACTAGAAAGTGCTTCGAAAGGTGTCAGCAGGTGCGCGGAGCCGGAGCCCGACCTGTTCGCCCGCTGGGCCGAGTGTTCGCCCACTTCAGAGTCTTCGCCTTTAGATAACAAAAAGTGTCCGCCCCTTAGGTCGCCAAACTATGACGAGAGTTTTACCTTTTGAAGCACCAGTCGCGTAGGGCGACCGGCCCAGGCCGAGTCAGAAAGGATTTGATGACTCAAGGTTCATATTAGGGAAAGGAGAGTGAGGGGAAGAGGGGGCAGCCCTCGGCCTGATCATCCAATTCGCTTCAACAGACATGCATGGTTCTGTAGTCAAAGCAACTTCGTCCCCACTTTACCTGGTTCCACCCTACCCACTTTGATATTTCCAGGTTTTCCGGTTCTAGACCCACTTTACCCGGTACCGTACTCGGAACCAAACCGGAGTCGGTTCCTATATACTAGTCTGGTTTTCGGTCCTAGAAAATCCCGTTAACCGGTTCCGAGTTTTCTAGGTCCGAGTCCATCTGGTCCGGGTTTAGACCCACTTTCATCCCTATCCTCCACCCTCCTGATCCTCCAACTCGAAACCCTAGCCCCTAGATCAGATTTTAAGCCTTTCTATGTGTTTTGAGTGCATTTTGGATGAAAGAGAAGTTCAAGCTTGTTGATTGTTCAAGATTAAGCTTGTGGATCCAAAGCCTACATTGCTTTTCTCAACTCCAGAAGGTACAAAGCTTGAATCTTTATGATGTATTTGTTAGATCTAGCTAGTTTTGGGTTTTATAAGCTTTCTGGTCACTTTAGTACATAAAGTTTAGATCTTGAAAGTTTGTGACCTTGTTAAGGATAAATTTGGAATCTTTATCCATATAAACATCATATTGATTCAGATCTGAAGGTTGGAGACTTGGACTTAACGGATTAAGTTGAGAAAGATGCATTTTTGGTCCCATTGAGACTTAAAGACTAGATTCTTGTTGTTTGGACCATCCTAATGGATAAAGTTGGAAACTTTATCCATTATGGAGCTATTAGGAGTCATAAAAATGTGATCTTTGTCCCTTTCTTCCCTCCATGCAAGAGTCATGATGCTTTGGTTTGTGTACTAAGTTAGGATTTTGGTGTATAGACTCTTTTTATCCATGGAAAGTCATAAAGTTGGAAATTTTATGACTTAGAATGTTATTTGGGACTAGATTTGAGCTTTGGACATTAGATCTTGATGAAATAAGCCCTTAATGAAGGAAAATGGAATTGGTCGAGTACATTGGACGTACCTGGTAGTATGCTGAGCATACAAGGTTGGAGTCTCGTTATCAAGAATGGATCTACTACGTTGAGCGTAGTGACTGAGTACACTGGGCGTACTCAGTCTGTATTGACCACCTTTGACTTTTTAACTTGTTGACTTTGACTAAGTTTGACCTAAGGGCATTTTGGGTAATTTGAATAGTAGTTAAGATTTGGGTCCATGTTAATTGTATAGGTAACCGATAGAGATAACTTTTGGACTAGTGATCGGTGTAGCTATTCTTTCAGAATGTGAGGTGAGTCTCCTCACTACGCTTGTGGGTCAAAGGCAACAACGTCGGCCCACTGGATTATGTTGTAGGGTAGCAGTGGTCTTCGTGACACTTACTGATATGCATGTATGTGCTTGTTGTCTTTGTGACTCTTGCTAGTATGACTATATGCTTAGCTATAGGGGTGAAATAGACCCGTACCAGTTGAAAGATACCATAGTAGTCGGAAGGGAGTCAAAGATTCGGAAGGGATTCAGGGGTGAAATAGACCCGTTACATGTTTTAGTATGATATGTATGTATGATGTATATGTATGGTATGTGGTACTTTGGGAAACTCATTATGTTTTGTGCTTACAGTTTATGTTTAAAATGTTTTCAGGTACTTCTGTTCTCAAAAGGGAGGTCCCAGCTTGATCACACCGTATCTCCTAAAGAATTATTCTGCATTGACTATTTATGATTTTACTCTGTTGTTTTGAGAATACTTTTATTATGATCGTCTTTTGGGATGATGAATGAATGGTTTTGACTTACTTAAATGAAAATTTTACTCGGTATTTTTAGGACATTACATGTACTTTTTCATGAAAAACTACAATTGTTGTAAAATCTAATTCAAATCCTATCTTAAATGTTTTTGTTATAACGTGCGAATCTCTAATATACATTAAAACAGAAACCTTATGACATCATCTTAAACAATCAGGTCCCTTGATTGTGTTTCCTTTATAGGTTTTACACCCTTAGATCAAGTTGTTGACATCACCCTTGTCACATGTCTCTTTTCCCGATAAAGAAATTACTATCCGATTATATTGCATTCATATTTCAAATAAAATTAAAACAATTACCATAAATCCTATACTCTATACTCTATAATTACATAAAATCAGGGAAATGATATGGAATTATGGATTTCCCTATTTTAAATGGCTACACAACCGCTCCTCGTCTTTAATTTTCTCTCTCAAACCATGTCTTCGAGAAAGAACACATATGGAAAACACTTTTATGTGTGCTTCAACTACTACTACTATGTTAATCTAGTGCTTGCTTCTTCTATTGCAAGTTTTTTTTAAATGATTTGAAGTTATAGCACATATTTAAATCTTATCCCAGGTAACAAACTCAATTGGGTTTTTAGTTTTAGGGTTTTACTTTTGTCTAATCGATTCAAATCACATAGTCGATTATATGCTTTCATCTCTCATTTGACCTCCGTCTGATTTCCTACAATTTGATAGCATTTG